CTTATTCTGCTAATAACATTTTCCTGATCTGTTTATGTGTGTTTACTAAAATGTCTCAGTTTCATATTTTTTTCACTTGATTAATTAGGTTTGGTAACATGGAATCTGTTATTTTTTTAAAATCAGATTTATATGCTCTGCTCATCTTGAACCTTACATGGAATGATAACTCCAGATGTTGGCCCCTGAGACTGACCTTAGACGTGCCTGTTAAAAAAGGAATAGTTGAGAGTTAAAGTAACAAAGAACTACTGCTCGTGATTGTGTTTTGGCCTTAATGGAAACACAGTAGGACATCAGTTGTACTAACTGGTCTTTGGTGGAAATACTTCACACCATTAGGATTCCACATATTAGTGCTGGGACAGCTGTAAAAGTGTAGCAGCACAGTTTAACTGGGAGAACAGAGCGTCCCTTGTGGGAGATATTCACAGTAAATAAAGTTAAGCAGAGATAACTCACTGCTTATGTTTCCAGTGAATCGCTGCTAACTGCCCTGGGCTCCCTCTCCGCCCGTCTCTCTCATTCACTCCCTCTCTGGACATGTGATGTATGTGTTTTGTGTGTACGGCACTGTGTGTATGTGTGTGTGCGACTGCATGTGATGTTTGTGTACGCCAATCTTGCAGTTATTCTTGCATACTTAACAGAACCGTGACCTAGTTGTCCACACTGGACAACTATGCTAAGTGTGTTTCTCTGTATTTAGAAACCCCCGTATCCCATCAGCCCCCCTGTTTTGTCATTTGGGAGGGAATTTGTACTGTAAACTGCAGAAAAAAAGACAATAACATTTAATGGAGAAATATGGTGCGAGCATGTGTACTGTGAACACTGCAGTGTGTACTTCTGTACTTGTGCATATACAGCATCACCTACTGCATGAATGTGAGTTGGTCTCTGTAAGTCATGCCAGTACTGCAGGCTGCGTGGTGCCCTGCTGAGGCCCAGCGACACCATTCTGCTCTAGAACCGGAGACTAGTGACTTTTTTTTCCAACTATCCTAATTTTGTTTTCATGTGACCCCAAAAGGTGTAAATTAGGCTACATCTGGGTTTGTTTGTAGGATTTGTGTGAATCCAGCACAAGTAAATAACCCCATGTGGCCCACACTCTATGCCCAGTTCTTACTGTGGGATCTGGGACTCAAACACTTGCATCAACCTAAGTCTAAGACCTCAGATGTTCTTTTCTCCATATTATGATTTTACTGCCATGGATTATTCATGCTTTTATAAACTCTAGGCACAAAACGCTTTGGGGCTGAATGCTCGGCTGTTGAACATTAACATATTTTAGACAGTAATAAAAGACATGTTTGTATGGAATGTGCAGCCCAACTGGTCAGCTGAGCATTTGGTGCACATTTTACCTCCAGCTTTATGGAAACACTTAACATGTAGATGGAAATCTCTGAGTAAATATGCACAGTAAAAATTGCTTTTTTTCCCCTTTCGGCCAACTGTAAATACACCAATGCCAACGCCACAGACGTATATAGTGTTTTCTTCTTATTGATGTTGCCACCAGAAGAACATGGACGGTGTGTAAAAACTGGGCAGAGCCACTGCTGTGTTTGTGATGGACTTTGTATGGAACATAAAGTTCTTTTCATAGATTACATACATAAAGATAGAAAAACTCAAAAAGGTTGAATATGATTGGTCAGTACATTTGATTGACAGAAATGCATTTTTTTATGTATGTTTTTAGAGCCTCCTCAGGCTTTTGTTGCCTTTATTATAAACATACAGGAATACAAAGTGTGTGTCCATAAATAGAGGGACTTTCTTTCTTTGTCCCTGTTTGCATGGAGTCATCGGTGATCTCAGGTAAAGGAGTCCCTGTGTGGTGGCAGATGGACGGCATTAATCTGGCTGATTTTCTTCCTCCTCCGTGAGCACACACTGCCCACATGGCTGCCAACTCTCCTACATGCTTTCTCCTCTCTCTGACAGAATTTGCAGCAACATTTGCTGAAAGGAATCTCTCAGTGCTGTCCCAAGAATTCTTTCTCATGTTCTCATTTTCAGCTAAAATTCTGCTCGAACGACTGCAGGATTCCAGACATTGCGGTGCTGTCGGGTCTCAGAGCTCTCACTTGTTGATGATGTACAGTATTGCTTTCCTAAGAGGAAATACCACTCTGTGAAAACAAACAAAGTCAGAGAACAAGACAGTGTTCTGCCTTTGAAGATATGAGTCTGCTCTGTTTGATGCCTGGGTCATAAGGGCAACGTCAGTTGTGGTCAGGGAAAGAACGCCATGTTAATTTTTCATTACCAAGTATTTGCACTGTGACAGAGACACCTGTACCAAACTAAAAGATTGGTCTATGTTTCACCCACTGTTCCATTTTCGCTGTTGGACCAGCGTTACGGTCCATTCACCTGGCAGCAGTTCCCACAGGGACACTTCAACCAACCAGAGAAGCTACGATGACCTCACAGCTGCAATGCAGCCCTCCTGGCTGCACAGTCATACATGTGAAAATCCCCCTTGTGGTGGTCTTTTTATAGAACACAGTGTGTTAGAATTTTTTGGAGGTGTCAGAAGTGTTGAAGCAGAAAAAAAAACTGTGCCAAACTTTAGCGCCCTGCTTGTGTTATTTATATCCAGTCAACAACAATCTGCAAACGCACTGATCCTTAAAATTATGCCAAAACCTTTCGTGCCTCACTTTCCTACCGTCTGTCTCTGTGTTTAATAGGCATGTACGTACACCAACCAAACACACACTTCCAGCATTATCCTCGTAGCTCAGTGGACACAGCCGTTTTCCAAGAGGCTGACTGTGATTCGTTTCATTGGTACATGGTTTGACCCAGTTCCCATGACTCCGTGCTCACGTTTTGGCACTGAGACAACAAATCTGAGATTGATTTGATTCCAGTTCTGCGTTCTGTTGTCGGCAGTTACAGCAGTCTTTAACAGATGTGTCACATGTTTTCCTTGTTGCAGGACAACTGGTTGGTATGCTGCTTTTTATTAATGAAGTTGAAACTATTTCTGATTGGAGTTGACTTACAGTTGGGTTGCAATAGCAGGAAGTGATCCGGTAGACAGGAAGAGGAAGTGATGGGAGAGTTTGCCCACCGTTGGGTGGTTTATGGGGGTCTGCAGGTCTCTTTTTATAAGGTCAGACTGTCTGCCACAGCAGCCGCTCTTTCGTCAGACTGCTGTCACTGCAGGAAGTCACTGTTGTTCACCGCTCAGTTTAGAAACTCCCCAGATTGTTGTTTTTAATAAGTCAACTGCTGTGTGTATTTAAGACATTCCTGGAAGTTGTCTGTTGTATAACTAATATTTTTAAATGTTTTTATAAGAAAAATAGTTCAAAAGCATACAATGTTAATGGTAATAATAGTCAAGTAATGGAGTTAATATATGACAAATATAATATAGAAAATAAATCTGCTGTTTTTTTTATTTGCATGTTAAAAAGCTATTTTTTGTTTTGTTGTTTACTCCTCTATGTTCACTAATCATCGTCTCCTTTGTTTTTACAGGGCAGAAAAAACTGAGGTGTTAAGTGATGACCTTTTACAGGTACTTTTTTTTTTGGGAACATTTAATAACCCAGGTTGAGTTTCAGGGTCTGCTTGAACTTCTTGTGCACTGAAGGATCTCTTAACACGCACACTGTAATGTCACTGTTCATTCGATGACACCTTCATGTGATGATGATCATGTTTGAATAAATCTTGTTGCATCAGTGTTTGACTAGCTCTTTTCACAAAGTTTGGAATTATACATTTTAAAACTTAAAACTAATTAAAATTAAAAACGAAACTACTCGGCTGCACCTGTGTCAGTTCAGATAGACTTAGTTGAAGTAGAGGATTAGAGTTTACAGTACCCCTAATGTAGAGATGTAGGTGTCAGCGTCTTGAACTCACATTTCACAGAACATGGACGACAGGAGAAGAGTCTGTAACGCAACAAATTTGACAATGATTAATCTGGGACTGAGGAGCGGTGCTGTGTCAAGTCTATCCAACTTGTGTTAACCCAGGTGGAGAAGCGTCTGGATCTGGTCAAGCAGGTGACACACAGCACTCACAAGAAGCTCACAGCCTGCCTGCAGGGTCAGCAGGGAGCTGACGTCGACAAGAAATCTGTCAAGTCGCCTTCGGTGAGCCCCTGCACCGTAGGTCTTCTGTCCTACAGCTGTAACAGATGCAGTGATAATAACACACTCCAAACTTTCCTTTTTAAAGAAGAAACTACCGCTCACTATCTTGGCACAATGTCTGGTGGAAGGAGCTGCAGTGCTGGGAGATGACTCCCTCCTGGGGTAAGTACCGTGAGTAAGTAAGTAAATATAAATACAGCATTTGAATTCCCTGTGTCCTCATGTCCCCCCACCCCCGGTCTGCTACTCATTTGTATGTGGTCACCTCCTGCTCATCGACATTGTGTTTATCAACAAACAGCAAGATGCTGAAGCTGTGCGGAGAGACGGAAGAGAAACTGGCCCAGGAGTTAATCCAGTTTGAGTTCCAGATAGAGAGAGATGTGGTGGACCCTCTTTATGTGCTGGCAGAGGTGAGTCAGCAGTGGTCTCATTTGATGAAGAATTCGAAATGGTTTTAGCAGAGTCCACAGTTAAGGGTCAGGGAGTACTTTCAGTAGGAAGGAAACGGTCCAACATAGACCTGTCTGAGTCACATATGAACAAATACCTGTGCTTTTCACATCTGGACAGGCTCAAAATATTATTACAAATGTGATGCAAGTTGAACTGTACAGGCTGTCACAAACCACTTTTCCCTCAGCTGCTGCCAACTCTATTGAACCTGTACAGCTGCTGTTAAATATTGTGACGTTGGAGTCAAAGAAGTCTGATGTCTACATAAACCAGGAAAGGCTGAACCAGAAGCAGCAGAGCCGTCACCCCTAATTTTTCTTCCTTGATTAGAATCATCCACATCAGCTCCTTGCCCCGGGAGCTGTCGGAATAACTGCAGATAGTGATGGCCGTCTCGTTCCTACACTGGCTCTTTAGCATACAACTTTCACAAGCATACAGGACCTGACGAACTGACTAAAACAAAACCACCTGACTGCCTGTACAAACTCTTGATTTTTTTTTACAGCGGAAAGGATTTTTTGGAATTGGCTAACTGCATGTTGCATGGTGTTTGTAGTATTATTTTGAGCATGTTATTATGTTAAAGGCACAAATGTTAAATGTACAGAACTTCAGAACTTTTCTAATATCTTATATAAAACAACAGACTTCTTTAATGTCTCATTTTGGTGGATACTTTCCACAATTGTCCTCCTGTAGGTGGACATCCCCAACATCCAGAAACAGAGGAAGCACTTAGCCAAGCTCGTCTTGGACATGGACTCTGCACGGACAAGGTGAGGACACGGCCTTGTTCACGTATTTTTTAAAATTAAGGCTCAAAATAAAGCCTTTATTAAATGTTTGTGCAGGAAGCATGAGACATGCAGCTGTCTGTTTCTTTTTCCTCCACATACTGTAGATATCAGCAGGCATCCAAGTCCTCCAGTCATCCCAGCACTCTGCAGCCTGGCACCAAGTCCGAGTCCCTCAGAGAGGAGATGGAAGAGGCAGCCAATCGGATGGAGATCTGTCGAGTGAGTCACCAATCAAGATATTTATGCATGCATTTTCTTTTTGCATTAATCATATAAATGTCAGATTCATTAGAAGTCTTTCAAGTGTTGTTGTTTTGTTTTTTTTTTTCAGGATCAATTGTCTGCAGATATGTACAATTTTGTGGCCAAAGAACTAGACTATGCAAATTATTTCCAGACAGTAAGTAATAATATTTAACATGATGTAGGAGATTCTTTCATTTAAGTCATTTGTACTTTTTGTGTAAATGTTGGTGTATTGTTGTGTATTATACACACCTGTCACAGAATCCTTGGTGTAAAGTCTTATTCTGTCCCCTGTAGCTGATAGAAACACAGGCAGAATATCACAGGAAGTCATTAGAGATTCTTCACAGCATCCTACCCCAGATTAAAGCACACCAAGGTGAGTCTGTGTGTGTGTGTGTGTGTGTAGATATGCTCTATTTTGGCACCTGCTGCAATAAAAAGTTGAGCAGTACGGACATTAATGACCCCGATGTGTGACATAACAATCCCATTAACCTATAATTACTCACCTTCGTATTTTCAGATAGCTGCCGCACAAGCACTCAGCCAATGTCGGGGCTTGTTTATTTGTGTGTGTGTGTGTGTGTGTGTGTGAGAGAGAGACTCCAGCTGCTGCTTTGTGTTGCAGAGGCGTGGGTGGAGAAGCCATCGTTTGGCAAGTCTTTGGAGGAACACCTGAATATCAGTGGCAGGGAGATTGCGTTTCCAATCGAAGCCTGTGTCACCATGTTGCTGGAGTGTGGCATGCAGGAGGAGGTAGAGAGCTGTTCTGAATTATTACTGTGATACAGTCACATAGTGTACAATGGTTGTGGCGCCTGCTTCTAATAAGAAGATCAACGACCTCATCTATTTTCACCTCAGTGCGACCTTTGAAGCCGTATTTAACACCTGAGTGTTTCTGACCTTTTCTCTGTCAGACTTAAAAGGTCTTTCTCTGAAGTTTAAAAGCGAGTGGACGAACAGAAATATATTTTAGGATGCTAGTGAGGGAAGTTAGCGGAGAAGAAGAACAGTTTGTGTGACACAGAGAGTGAGAAATCTCA